AAGGAAGGAAGGAAGGAAGGGGAAATAAACCAGAGGGAAGGATACTGCATATCTATCTATCTATATATATATATATATATATATATATATATATATATAAATATATTAAAAATATTGAAAAAAAGGGCGCCATCTTTACAAAACGTTTTGTAAATATTAATGAAATTTCGTAAATACCAAAAAAATTTTAGGGAAAATTTTGGATATATTTTTAAATACAAAATGCTGAGGCACCCTAAAAACGAAACGATATTAGAAACAAATTTTTCCGTTGTTACCCAGGCCTAGACGTATGAGTTTGCTCTTCTCAGCTGTAAAAAGCTTCATTTCCTACAGCTTTGCTGGGGAGAAAGCTACAGCCAATTTTGCAAGGGAAAATGAATTTCTCACAGCTTTGCTGGAAGAAAGTTACAGCCAGCTTTGCTGGACAAAGGGAATGGTTCCACAACCCTCGTGGAAAACCTAAAGGATGCCAGCTCAGCAGAGCCACAGAAGACCTTATCTGGCAAGGGACACTTGGGCTATCCATAAAGCAGATTGGAGCCAGGAGTAGGGCCCTCATGCCAGTAAGATAAAGGTCTACTGCCCAAGGAGAGGTGAGAAGGTTTCCCCAAGGAAAAGGAACAGTTCATCATTCAGTTGCCACACTTTGTGGCTAGATTAAGAAAGCTACTGGTTCTCCAGAGTTATAAAGTACTAGCTTTCCCTGCCACGTGTTGCTGTGGCCAACCTTCCCTCCCTCTTTCTCTCCTTTTTTCCTATCTCCTTCCCCCTCTTTCTTCTCCTTTTTCTTTCTTTCTTCCTTCTTTCTTCTCTCTACCTGTTTCTTTCCTCCCTCTTTGCTCCCTTCTTACCCCCTTCCTTTTCCTTCTTCTTCCTTCCTCTTTTCTCTCTCCTTCTTTCCTTCCTTCCTTCCCTCCTTCCTTCCTTTCATTTTTTTCTTTCTCTCCTTCCTCCTTCTCTCTTCTTTCCTTTCTTCTTTCTCTTCTTCTTCTCTTCCTTCCTTGCTTCCATCCTTCTCTCCTTCCTTCTCTTCACCTTTCTTTCCTTCCTTCTCTACTTCCCTCTTCTTCCTCCTTCTCTCCTTCTTTCAGTCCTTTTTTTTTTTCTCTTTTTTTTTTTTTTTTTTTCTTTCCTTCTCTCCTTCTTTCCCTTCTTCTCTCACTGTTTCTATCCTTCCTTCTCTCCTTCCTTCTTTACCTTTCTTTCTTTCCTTCTTTCTCTCCTTCCCTCCTTCTTTCCCTGCTTCTCTCCCTCCTTCTCTCCTTCCTTCCATGGGGGGCATGGCCGGGGGCATTGCGTGAACGTGGGGGGGGGGTGGGGGAGGGAGGGGGTGTGGCGTGTAACATGGGGGTGGGGGGGGGAGGGAGGGGGCGGGGGCGGGGGAAGAAGAAGGAGGGGGAGGAGGTAAGGTTGGGGTATGGGCGTTTAGGGGTGGGGCGGGGGAGGGTGGGGGCGTGGCGTGAACGGGGGGCGGGGGGGCGTGGTGTGAACGTGGGGGCATGGGCGGGAGAAGAAGGAGGGGGTGGTGTGGAAAGGGGGGCGTATGGGAGGGTAGGGCTTGCATGAACTGTGGGGCGGGAGCCGGGGATACGGCGTGGGGGCATGGCGTGAATGTGGGGGGCGGGGGGAGGGAGGGGGTGTGGTGAAGGTGGGGGCGTGGGCGGGGGAAGAAGAAGGAGGGGAGGAGGTAAGGTTGGGGTATGGGCGTTTTGGGGCGGGGGAGGGAGGGGGCGTGGCATGAACGTGGGGGGCGTGGCATGAACGTGGGGGGCGTGGGCAGGGGAAGGAGGGGTGTGGCGTGAACGTGGGGGGCGTGGGGGCATGGCGTGAACATGGGGGGTGGGGCCAGGGGAAGTAGAAGGAGGGGGAGGAGGTAAGGTTGGGGTATGGGCGCTTAGGGGCGGGGCGGGGGAGGGGCATGGCATGAACATGGGGGGCGTGGACGGGGGAAGAAGAAGAAGGGTGGGTTGGGAAGAGGGCGTATGGGAGGGTAGGGGCGGGGCGACGGAGGATGGGGGCGTGCCTTGCGCGGAGGATGTGTTGGCCGGCCGGCCATGTGCGCGCGCCAGGGAATTGCGGCGGGGCACCTTTGTGCATGCTCAGTTGGTTTTCGTTGTTGTGAGTGTGTCGATATGGTGTTTAGAATTTTGAATCGGTTTGTGCATACCTTGTGGGTTGAGGTATGTGCATGGTTAATTTGGTAAATTTTCGTCTGGGTTTTTTTGAGTTTTGCTGTCCCATTGGACACCCATAACAGATTTATATATATAGATTTGATTAATTCGTTGAAGATTTAAGAATTTGTTGAAGATTTAAGCATCAATAAAGGACTTTGTTGAACCTTTTGAGCCTCTACAGAACTTTGTTTTGGGAAACCTAGAGGCCCTTTAGCTGAGGCAGCCCCGGCGTCCCGCTGGGCATACAGAAAGCACGTCCTGCAAATAGACATTGCCACACAGGCCTAGCATGCAACAGCACAATACACATATGATCAGAAGCAGATGAAAGACCCTCCCTCCACCTGCAAGGATTACATCTTAGAAATATAACATTATGAATATGCATGATGCTCATGGTGCAGGATTTTGGCCAGCATTATTTTAAATTCAGAGGTTTTCCCCCTTAGAAGAATGGGAAAAATACATTACAGATTTGGTAATAATTGACAAGATAATTGAACGTTGTTGATGAATGGCAACCAGTAATTCAGCATCTCAATGTAAAATTAAACTAAAAATGTACATAGAGCAGTGTTTCTCAACCTTCCTAATGCCGTGACCCCTTAATACAGTCCCTCATATTGTGGTGACCTCCAACCATAACATTGTTTTTTTTGCTACTTCATAACAGTCATTTTACTACTGTTATAAATCATAATGTGAATATCTGATATGCAAAATATATTTTCATTCACTGGACCAAACTGGGCACAAATACCAATGCACCCACATGTAAATGCTAGTGGGGTTGGGGGAGGACTGATTTTGTAATTTGGGAGTTGTAGTTGCTGGGATTTATAGTTCACTTATAATCAAAGAGCATTCTGAACTCCACCAGCGATTGATTTGAACCTAATTTGGCACACAGAACTGCCATGACCAACGGAAAACACTGGAAGGGTTTGGTGGGCATTGACCTTGAGTTTGGGAGTTGTAGTTCATCTATATCCAGAGAGCACTGTGGACTCACACAATGGTGGATCTGGACCAAACTTGGCACAAATACTCAATATGTGCAAATGTGAACACTGGTGGAGTCTGGGGAAAATAGACCTTGACTTTTGGGAGTTGTAGTTGCTGGGATTTATAGTTCACTACAATCAAAGAACATTCTGAACTCCACCAACGATAGAATTGGCTCAAACGGTCATGGGGATTCCATGTGGGAAGTTTGAGCCAATCCTATCGTTGGTGGAGTTCAGAATGTTCTTTGATTGTAGTGAACTATAAATCCCAGCAACTACAACTCCCAAAAATCAAGGTCTATTTTCTGTGTTTTCTGATGGTCTTTGGCGACCCCTCTGACACCCCTTCACGACCCCCTCAGGGGTCCCGGCCCCCAGGTTGAGAAACACTGACATATAAGATAGAGGACAAGGAGGAAGCAGATACTAATTTAGAGCCTATGAATGTTATAACACAGTCACATTAATCATAGAGATCCCGGAGGATTATACTTTCTCTAATATATCCCACCTGCTAGCACCACTTTAAAGGATCATGAACTGAGATCTCAAAATAATACAAATCTCACAACTACCCATCTGATGGGATATGTTTCTTGGCACGGAGCATTTGGATGATTGTTGAGGTAACGTGTATAATCTGATATAGTTGCTGCCACCACCCAAAGAAATTTGGGAAATACTAAAGATGTTGTCCCTGAGGTAAATTCTTTTCTACCCACCAGCTCTCCCTTTGGCTCTCTTCAATGACTGAGTTGTAAAGATGTTAAAAATCACTGGAACTATTCATATAGAATGAATCACTGCTGAGGCTGCTTATGAGTTAAACTACAGAAATGTTTATTAATATATTTGAACAAACAACTGTCTTTTTAAACGAGGCACATAAGCTTAGATGGTTACAGAGGCATGATATTCTGAAATAGGTTTCCTTACTTAAACATGAGCAAGACTCCTCACTCTTCCCTGACCCAGTAGCAGTGAGTTCCTCAGACAAACCTAACCTGGTTGTCCCCAGAGCAAATAGCTTCACTCTGAACAGAGTTCTCTAACAGCTATACTACTCTGACTCCCAGAGAGCAATCCACTTGTCTAATATATCCTACACAAGCACACAGGTGTCTACTTTGACCCTCCTGGCTAAATAAATGTAGAATCACCTGCCCCAAATACTCTCTCACAGTAAAAATCTTAGCTCACCAAAAACCCGCCTCCCTCTCCCTTCAAAGCCAAAAATCTATCTCCCCTATGTGACAAGCTGACAGCTTTTCCCTCTCTGGGCTAAAACTCCTTCCAGCTGCCTTAACCAATCCAGAGAGAGCTCCAGCTCCTCCCACTTCTACTCTAACACTCCCAAGATGTCTGCCTCCCTGGTTTACCGTCTCAAAATGGAGGCCGGCTTACTGACATCTTAGGCTCCTACTTTGGCCAATGAGGTAAGGATCGTCACACATGTACTATTCAAATCTTCTACTGTTACCCCTTAAAGAAATTATCTGAGAAATGATTTTGGAACACTAATAGCTCAAAAATATTGCACTTTATGCAACAAACACAAATGTATGTCTATTTCAACAACAAAAAAATGTTGTGAAATTTTTCATTCCATCATTACTAAGAAGGGTATTATCTTGCTTTTTCCACTACCTAATAACTCTTTTGACATATTTAGGTCACTGCCACGACCAAACTTCTTCCCTCTCATATCTATGACGGGCTTTGTGATAAGGTCTTAGGAGAGACATCCCTAACATCTAAATAATTACTTTCATTACAGGAGAAATATCTGGAATTGCTATGAATGTGAACTTACTTGATTGAAGAGTCTGGGCCATGTAATGGCATCATCTTGAATGGTGAACATCTTGTCTACAGGACCGTGGGGATTCATTGTCCCAACTTTCATTCTAGCAAAAGTTCTATTTGGGAATGTGATCCAGTTGATAATATCGAATTGTGTTAATATTTCCCCATTTTGATTGAAGGAAACCTCTTCCCCAGCACTGTTATTAAATGCAACTCTTCTCAGAAAGTGGTGGATCTAAACAAGAGCATGGAAGAAATGATGGAAAGGCCCATAGAAATGATAAAATGTTACTCAAAATGATGTTTTGCACTAGCAGGGTCTAACAGCTTCTACCAATGTGCACTAGCACTTCCTTTTGGCATCCCAATTCACAACTGAGCTATTGTACATTGGCTCCCATTTTGCATCTGTCCAAATGAGCATAAATCTCAATGTGCTATGATCACATTACTAGAGTTGTACGCAGATCCGTTTTCCTTTGTTACACCCATTCTTTCGTTACTTTCATTACCTTTGGGAGCACGTAATGGAAAGTACAAAAACCAGCTTGATATGAAAGCTTTTTGTGAGCAGCATCCTTGCCTTAAAAGGAGTGCATGTGTGTGGCATGCAGGCCCAGAAGTGTGCACACCTGCCTGCAGCTGAGTGCCTCCTCTAGAGTAAGAAACAGAACTTGCCTCCTTGCCTTGGAAAGAATGTGTGTGTGGCATGCAGACCCAGAAAGCACATGTGCCTGCCTGCAGCCAAGCACCTCCTCTAGAGTAAGAAACAGAACTTGCCTCCTTGCCTTGGAAAGAATGTGTGTGTGGCATGCAGCCCAGAAAGCGTGAGCACCTGCTTGCAATTGAGTACCTCTCCTCTAGAGTAGAGAAACAGGTAAGAAGCCTCCTTAAAGCACATACCTGCCTGCAACTGAGCGCCTCTCCTCTAGAATAGAATCAGCTTAAATGCCTAAAATGACCACCAAAAGCCAGGACATAAAATGGGTAAAGGTATACCTGGATTGCACAAGCCTCCACAATTACTAGGTGTTTTGTGCAATCATGTTACAACAATCTTTTGTTGAATGGGAATGAAATTAAACAGCTCTATTCTATTTCCCACATAAATGAGGACTTTTATGAAGACATATATCTCCACTTGAAGTCTGGCCCTTTAAAAGCTTTGGGTGATAGTATATTGAGCGGTATTGAGTTGGTATATGCTGTATTAAAGGCTGTCAATACTATTTAATGCAAAACCACTGTATGTTATTATTTATCTAAAGTATAACAAGGTGACGGGACTGACCTTGAAGGAGCTGGGGGTGGTGACGGCGGACAGGGAGCTCTGGCGTGGGCTGGTCCATGAGGTCACGAAGAGATAAGGAACTATTTTTAAATAAGCAATGCATGGAAGTGGAAGAAGACAATAGAATAGGAAGGACAAGAGACCTCTTCCAGAAAATTAGAAACATTGGAGGCAAATTTCAGGCAAAAATTGGTATGATAAGAAACAAAGATGGCAGGGACCTAACAGAAGCTGAAGAGATCAAGAGAAGGTGGCGAGACTATACAGAAGATCTGTATAGGAAGGATAATAATATCGAGGATAGTTTTGATGGTGTGGTGAATGAATTAGAACCAGACATCCTGAGGAGTGAGGTTGAATGGGCCTTAAGAAGCATTGCTAACAACAAGGCAGCAGGAGACGACGGGATCCCAGCTGAACTGTTTAAAATCTTAAAAGATGTGCTGTCAAGGTGATGCATGCCATATGCCAGCAAATATGGAAAACACAAGAATGGCCATCAGACTGGAAAAAATCAACTTATATCCCCATACCAAAAAAGGGAAATGCGAAAGACTGCTCAAACTTCTGTACAGTGGCCCTTATTTCTCATGCCAGTAAGGTCATGCTCAAGATCCTGCGAGGAAGACTCCAGCAATACATGGAGTGAGAGTTGCCAGATGTTCAAGCTGGGTTCAGAAAAGACAGAGGAACGAGAGACCAGATTGCCAATATCCTGATGCTGGAGAATGGAGAAAGGCAGGGAGTTTCAGAAAAGCATCTACTTCTGTTTCATTGACTATTCTAAAGCCTTTGACTGTGTGGATCATAATAAATTGTGGCAAGTTCTTGGTGGGATGGGCATCCCAAGCCACCTTGTCTCTCTCCTGAGGAATCTGTACAAGGACCAAGTAGCAACAGTAAGAACTGACCACGGAACAACAGACTGGTTCAAGATTGGGAAAGGCGTACGGGGTTCATACTCTCACCCAACCTTTTTAACTTGTATGCAGAACACATCATGCGATGAATGCAAAGCTGGGGTGAAAATTGCTGGAAGAAACATTAACAACCTCAGATATGCAGATGACACCACTCTGATGGCCGAAAGCGAGGAAGAGCTGAGGAGCCTTCTAATCAAGGTGAAAGAAGAAAGTGCAAAAACTGGGCTGCAGCTAAACATAAAAAAACCCAAGATTATGGCAACAAGAATGATTGACAACTGGGAAATAGAGGGAGAAAATGTGGAGGCCGTGACAGACTTTGTATTTCTAGGTGCAAAGATGACTGCAGATGCAGACTGTGGCCAGGAAATCAGAAGACGCTTCCTTCTTGGGAGGAGAGCAATGTCCAGTCTCGATAAAATAGTAAAGAGTAGAGACATCACACTGGCAACAAAGATCCGCATAGTCAAAGCCATGGTATTCCCTGTAGTAACCTACGGATGTGAGAGCTGGACCTTAGGGAAGGCGGAGTGAAGGAAGATAGATGCTTTTGAACTGTGGTGTTGGAGGAAAGTTCTGAGAGTGCCTTGGACTGCGAGAAGATCCAACCAGTCCATCCTCCAGGAAATAAAGCCCGACTGCTCACTGGAGGGAAGGATACTAGAGACAAAGTTGAAGTACTTTGGCCACATCATGAGGAGACAGCAAAGCCTAGAGAAGACAATTATGCTGGGGAAAGTAGAAGGTAAAAGGAAGAGGGGCCGACCAAGGGCAAGATGGATGGATGGCATCCTTGAAGCGACTGGACTGACCTTGAAGGAGCTGAGGGTGGTGACGGCCAACAGGGAGCGCTGGCGTGGACTGGTCCATGAGGTCACGAAGAGTCGGAGATGACTGAACGAATGAACAACAAATAACAAGTAAGATAGCACTCTGAAAATTCAAATATGCACAGAATACACCAACCACCATCAAAAGAATGAAGTATGATTTGGCTCTTAATGTAAGCAGAACATTTTCAAACAGTTGTAAACTGGAAGAAATAACAGGCAACACATCAGGTAGAAAGAAACCCATATTCCAGCTTTTACAAAGATGCCTCCTGACATTGTGAGGGATCTATTCTTCTACTACAGTATGTAAAAAAGGTTTTTGTTACTGGGTTATGAATGTCATTTCCTAATTGGGTCTATCATTACAAAATGGGAAAACTTTGTTAAACTGCACAAACTTTGTTTTTGAAGGACATCCTCCAACACATTTCCCCATAGTTTTTCCATGACTTTCTGATAGAATCTCAACCAATTCAACATAGTTTGTGACGGTCACAAAAACGAAGTTTCTGGAGTATAACAACTACTTTCCAAGTAAATACCACACAGTTAAACAGGTAATAACACTTTCAAATCAGATTCAGATTTTTTCCCCCCAAATTTTGTTACCTAGTGCTATCCATACAATAAACTCTTCTGCATTAGTGAGAGTACCTGCCATGGGTGTCTATTCCAAAGTTCCTTTCTTCTGCCATTCAGCACTGAATTGTGCTTGAATTTGGATGAATACATGGCCTGCAAAGCATGTGCAACTGCATAGACAGCATTGTAGACACTGTAGCTATGGCTGGTCATGCTCATTTCAAAAACAGACACAGGAAGAGTCTCGAACTTCTCCTTCCAAGTGCAGGGTGGCTTATCTTCCTCACCCAACAAATGATCAGATAAAAAACAGTTAAATGCCTCTTCCCAGAAAGCCCACAAAAACTTGTCTTCTTTTTCTAAGGCAGGGTTTCGTATCTGTAGAAACTGTTTGAATCCTGAAGGTTCCTTTGAATGAACTGCAAAGGATAGAGCCCCATGAAGGAAATGCATACTCATGCGTCTATGAGAAGAGAGTGAAGAAAACTCCATCTGAGCTGTCATAATCCAAACTTTTGGGCTGCTTTGCAGGGGTGTATCAGTCAATTGTGCAATATTTTCCATGAATCTTATTACCATAACGCTATGAATTTCGCCATGCACAACCACCACACTGGCAGTACTTCCAGCAATAATCTTAATCATTTCATCAAATTCATTTATTAATTTCTGAATTCCATCAGAAAAGGCAATTTGGGGCAACTTTGCTACAAATTGGAAGCAAATTCCTTTCTGAGCAAATGTAGGAAGAACGTTTTGTACAAATCCCTCTCCAGTATCATCATCCATAGTAACTACACCAATCCATATCCAGTTGAAATGCAAGAGTAACTGGACAAGCCCTTCATACTGATAACCAATGTTTGGGAACATGCGGTGGAAGAAATGGCTTTGTACTTCCTTATTCACCACAGGAGATGATCCAAAGATGAGCTATAAAGAGAGAGAAAAAATAAAGTGATATCAAACATAAACACCAATTAAATATGAATCAAAACTTTCTAATTTCTTCAACTGTTATATTAGGTTAATGGAATATTATTTTTAATGATGCTAATGCATAATGTAATGTATCCTTGCCAAGAAAACTAAATGGACCAGTACAACCAGAGATATGTCGGTATGCCATTGGAAGATGGGACTCCCAGGTCGGAAGATGGCCAAAATGCTACTGGGGAGGAGCAGAGGATAAGTTCAACTAGCCCCAGATGTGATGACGCAGCTAGCTCAAAGCCGAAAGGAAGGCTAGCGGCTGACGGTACTGGAGGTGAACGACGAATCAGATGCTCTAAAGATCAACACACCGTAGGAACCTGGAATGTAAGATCTATGAGCCAGGGCAAATTGGATGTTGTTATTGGTGAGATGTCAAGACTAAAGATAGACATTCTGGGGGTCAGCGAACTGAAATGGACTGGAATGGGCCACTTCACATCAGATGACCACCAGATCTACTACTGCGGACAAGAGGAACATCGAAGAAATGGAGTAGCCTTCATAATTAATAAGAAATTCGCTAAAGCGGTGCTTGGATACAACCCAAAAAATGACAGAATGATCTCAATTCGAGTGCAAGGAAAGCCTTTCAACATTACAGTGATCCAAATATATGCCCCAACCGCAGCTGCTGAAGAAGCAGAAGTAGATCAGTTCTATGAGGATCTGCAGGACCTACTGGATAATACACCAAAAAGAGACATTATTTTCATTACAGGAATGCCAAGGTGGGAAGGTGGAATGCCAAGGTGGGAAGTCAAATGACAACTGGGATCACAGGCAAGCATGGTCTGGGAGAACAAAATGAAGCGGGACGCAGGCTGATAGAATTTTGCCAGGAAAACTCGCAGTGTATAACGAATACTCTCTTCCAACAACCTAAAAGACGGCTTTATACATGGACCTCACCAGATGGTCAACACCGAAATCAGATTGACTACATCCTTTGCAGCCAAAGGTGGCGGACATCCATCCAGTCAGTGAAAACAAGACCTGGGGCTGACTGTAGCTCGGATCACGAACTTCTTATTGCTCAATTTAGAATAAAACTAAAGAGATCAGGGAAAATACACAGAGACCAGTTAGATATGATCTCACTAACATTCCTAGCGAATATACAGTGGAAGTGAAGAACAGATTTGAAGGACTAGATTTAGTAAACAGAGTCCCAGAAGAACTATGGACAGAAGTCCGCGACATTGTTCAGGAGGCGGCAACAAAGTACGTCCCAAAGAAAAAGAAAACCAAGAAGGCAAAATGGTTGTCTGCTGAGACACTGGAAGTAGCCCAAGAAAGAAGGAAAGCAAAAGGAAACAGTGGAAAGGGGAGATATGCCCAGTTAAATGCGCAATTCCAGAGGTTAGCCAGAAGAGATAAGGAACTATTTTTAAATAAGCAATGCATGGAAGTGGAAGAAGACAACAGAATAGGAAGGACAAGAGACCTCTTCCAGAAAATTAGAAACATTGGAGGTAAATTTCAGGCAAAAAGTGGTATGATAAGAAACAAAGATGGCAGGGACCTAACAGAAGCTGAAGAGACTATACAGAAGATCTGTATAGGAAGGATAATAATATCGAGGATAGTTTTGATGGTATGGTGAATGAATTAGAACCAGACATCCTGAGGAGTGAGGTGGAATGGGCCTTAAGAAGCACTGCTAACAACAAGGCAGCAGGAGACGACGGGATCCCAGCTGAACTGTTTAAAATCTTAAAAGATGATGCTGTCAAGGTGATGCATGCCATATGCCAGCAAATATGGAAAACACAAGAATGGCCATCAGACTGGAAAAAATCAACTTATATCCCCATACCAAAAAAGGGAAATGCGAAAGACTGCTCAAACTTCCGTACAGTGGCCCTTATTTCTCATGCCAGGAAGGTAATGCTCAAGATCCTGCAAGGAAGACTCCAGCAATACATGGAGCGAGAGTTGCCAGATGTTCAAGCTGGGTTTAGAAAAGGCAGAGGAACGAGAGACCAGATTGCCAATATCTGCCTGGAGAATGGAGAAAGGCAGGGAGTTTCAGAAAAACATCTACTTCTGTTTCATTGACTATTCTAAAGCCTTTGACTGTGTGGATCATAATAAATTGTGGCAAGTTCTTGGTGGGATGGGCATCCCAAGCCACCTTGTCTCTCTCCTGAGGAATCTGTACAAGGACCAAGTAGCAACAGTAAGAACTGACCATGGAACAACAGACTGGTTCAAGATTGGGAAAGGCGTACGGCAGGGTTGCATACTCTCACCCAACCTATTCAACTTGTATGCAGAACACATCATGTGATGTGCAGGGCTTGATGAATGCAAGGCTGGGGTAAAAATTGCTGGAAGAAACATTCACAACCTCAGATATGCAGATGACACCACTCTGATGGCCGAAAGCGAGGAGGAGCTGAGGAGCCTTCTAATCAAGGTGAAAGAAGAAAGCGCAAAAGCTGGGTTGCAGCTAAACAAAAAAACCCCCAAGATTATGGCAAAGAATGATTGACAAATGGAAAATAGAGGGAGAAAATGTGGAGGCCGTGACAGACTTTGTATTTCTAGGTGCAAAGATTACTGCAGATGCAGACTGTGGCCAGGAAATCAGAAGACGCTTACTTCTTGGGAGGAGAGCAATGTCCAATCTCGATAAAATAGTAAAGAGTAGAGACATCACACTGGCAACAAAGATCCACATAGTCAAAGCCATGGTATTCCCTGTAGTCACCTACGGATGTGAGAGCTGGACCTTAGGGAAGGCTGAGCGAAGGAAGATAGATGCTTTTGAACTGCGGTGTTGGAGGAAAGTTGTTGGAGTGCCTTGGACTGCGAGAAGAACCAACCAGTCCATCCTCCAGGAAATAAAGCCCGACTGCTCATTGGATGGAAGGATACTAGAGACAAAGTTAAGAACTTTGGCCACATCATGAGGAGACAGCAAAGCCTAGGGAAGACAATTATGCTGGGGAAAGTAGAAGGTAAAAGGAAGAGGGGCCGACCAAGGGCAAGATGGATGGATGGCATCCTTGAAGCGACTGGGCTGACCTTGAAGGAGCTGAGGGTGGTGATGGCCAACAGGGAGCGCTGGTGTGGACTGGTCCATGAGGTCACGAAGAGTCGGAGACGACTGAATGAATGAACAACACAATGCATAGGAATATTTATGCTACTTTTGTAAAATACATTCTTGTTAAAATTGACTTTATATTAGGGTGGGGAGTGTCTGGTCCTCCAGATATTGTTGGACTCCCAATCAACATTAATCAATATCAAAATAATTCTGACATGTAAGACATGAGAAAAGTCCATAGCACAAGTAACTTGTATGGTGGAAGTCCATGAACCTGAGCAGTAGGGGCATGCAACACAGCAAAAAACCATGACATTTTCAGTCCAGTTTCCATCTCCCATGATTCTTGGGAATTTAAAAAAAGTTTTTACTAAAACACAAGAATGTGTTCTCAGAATCAAAATCCCAACTATCATGTGCCACAAGAGAGGAGAACTTGTCTTTGGTTTTAAAAATAATTTTTGAAAACTGGTTTTTGAGTTGGAACAAAGATAGATAGAGTTATAAGATTTTGGTTCCAGGACCTCCAGTTAGTAGTAATTTTATTGATTAGCCCTTAGGCCATATCACAATAAGAAACAGAACAACAAGGCCTGACAAGACCTGATCACACTCCACGTAGTAAGTTAAAATAAGACACTTATAACAATACAGTAAATAAATATACTGATATCAAAAGCCATGAATACTTACGTCTCATTATATCCAATGGAGTAAAAGTATGATATCTATATAAATAAAAATGTAATGTTCGTTTGTGGGATTAACATAACTCAAAAACCACTGACCAAATTGACACCAAATTTGGACACAATACACCGATCAGGCCAACGAGTGACCATCACTCATAAAAACACTGAAAAACACAGCAGAAGGGACTTAAAAATCCCAAAAATAAAAATTATATTACAATGCATGTGCAAAACCACACACACATATATCCGCAAACACACACAAAACACATATACAAACTGGGCCACAGCAATGTGTGGCAGGGGACAGCTAGTCTATAAATAAAAATGTAATGTTAGTTTGTGGGATTAGCATAACTCAAAAACCACTGGATGAATTGACACCAAATTTGGACACAATACATCTATCAGGCCAATGAGTGACCAATACTCATAAAAACACTGAAAAACACAGCAGAAGGGACTTAAAAACAAAAAAAGATTCTACAGCACATGTACAAAAATGACTCCCCCAGCAAACAAAACACAAAATAGCATATCCACGCTCTCTTCCGGACTACTTCCGGCTCCCAGCATCACCTAGACCAGGCTCTTTAGGAGAGGAGGATGATCCAAATGCACTGCTTCCAGGCTGCAAGCTTTCTTCTCCTTGGATCTCTTTGAGAGCATCCCAATCCTTGCATATTTCCAATTTCCAATTCCTGGACTGGAACTCCCAGCAATCTTCCAGATAGATAGATTAGATAGAGATAGATAGGTAGGTAGATAGAATGATCAGGAGGACTGCTGGAAGTTGTAGTCCAAGAATAGGTAGAGAAGGAAGAACGAGGCAAAAGAGGAAGGGAAAGAAAAGGGGGGAAGGAAGGGAAGAGGAAGGAAGGAAGGAAGGAAGGAAGGAAGGAAGGAAGGAAGGAAGGAAGGAAGGAGAGGAGAGGAGGAAAGAAAAAAAAAGGGAAGGAAGGAGAGAAAGAAAGTAGAAAGGTTGGCCACAGCAATGCGTGGTGGGTACAGCTAGTCTCTTATATAAAACAAAGTTTGCTATTTGGATATTTTTGGGAAAGGGGGTATTTTAAATTTGCACATGGTTGAATCTGTGGATACTGAGTCTGAATTGGGAGGGCTGAATTTATGTTAACATAGATATATATGAATAAATACGCATACACAAGTGCTGGTTTGAAATCTATCATTCAATGCATAAAACTAACTAATCCAAAACATCACAAGGTATGATAGCTAGTCATATCAATGCATAATCTGGTCGCTTCTGGAATCCCACAAGAGCATTGCAGCACATCTAAATACCTGGGAGTTACCCTAGATTGTGTTTGGCCTACAAGAAGCACTGCTTGAATATCAAGCAAAAAGTGGGTGCTAGAAATAATATCATATAAAAGCTGACTGGCACACCCTGGAGATCACAACCTGATACAGTGAAGACATCTGCCCTTGCGCTTTCCTACTCTGCTGTTGAGTACACATGCCCAGTATGGAACACATCTCACCACGCTAAAACAGTAGATGTAGCTCTTAATGAGACATGCCACATTATCACAGGATGTTTATGCTTTACGCTGCTGGAAAAATTATACTGTTTAGCCGGTATTGCATCATCTGACATTTGTCGGGAAGTAGCAGCCAATAATGAGAGGACCAAGGCTGTGGCATCTCTGACCCACTCCCTGTTCAGATATCACAGCCAGCCCGCCAATGCCTTAAATCAAGAAATAGTTTTCTAAGATCTACAGAGATACTTGCAGGAACACCTCAGCAAGCAAGAGTCCAAAAGTGCCAGGCGAAAACCTGGAACCTCAATCAATGGCTGATACCAAATGAGAGACTCCCCCCTGGGCACACAGAAGACTGGGTGATTTGGAAGGCACTGAACAGACTGCACTCTGGCACCATGAGATGCAGAGCCAACCTTAAGAAATGGGGCCACAAAGTGGAGTCCACGACATGTGAGTGTGGAGAAGAACAAACCACAGGCCAGCTACTACAATGCAATCTGAGCCCTGCCACATGCACAATGGAGGACCTTTTTATAGCAACATCAGAGGCACTCCAAGTGGCCAGCTACTGGACAAAGGACATTTAATATTATGCCAAGTTTTTAAACTTCATGTTTTTTTTAAAAAAATACATTGCAACTGTACCCTCGGTTTGCTTTTGATACAATAAATGAATAAAATTCATAATGTCTACTCAATATTACCAACAGTTTTATATTATTTGTACCCATTATCCTTCCTAGAAACACTGGTATTCAGTGTCCAAGAATATGAACAGTAATATAAAATTATTAGAAACTCTAATCAACTGGTCTAGTTCCATGTTTGTAGCCACACTCACATTCGGAATGTTTTTCACCCTAGGATATCTGAAAAACTGTTTTGACTTACATAATCCCATCCAGAATTTGAAGTGTTCAAAAACAGTGTGTTGTATGTCTATCCACCCCAGAGCATGACACAGATAGCTACCGTTCCTGTTGCACATATGGTCATCCATAAAAACTGTATTATTACAACTTGTCTTTGATTAGAAAAATATTTTTGAAAACTGGTTTTTCTGTTGAAATTCAACAGCAATAGATAGAAATATACATTATTTCCTGTTCTCCTACAGTGCTGATGCCTTCTCACAGTAACACACACACGTAAGAAAAGAAGTAGATCCTGGCATTTTCAGATATTTTGGTTGCAGTACCTCCAGTTGATATCAAAATCAATTATTGTTTATTATTTAAAACATTTATATTCCACCCATCTCACCCCGCAGGGGACTCAGGGCGGAGCAGAATATATATATGGCAAACATTCAATGCCAGGACATACAACCATAAATATATACAAACATTAAAATCACTTATATTCAGATTAAAAGTTGCTTAAAAACCATCTCAGGACACCATTTTGCCTCCTTGCACTGCCCCAAAGGCTTAGTCCCACAGCCAGGTCTTCGCCATCCTTCTGAAGGACAGGAGAGAGGGGGCTGATCTAAAATTGCAAGGAAGGGAGTTCCATAACCGGGGGCAAATCACTGAGAAGGCCCTGTCTCTCGTCCCCACCAAACGTGCCTATGATGGTGGTGGGACCGAGAGCTGGGCCTCCCCAGAAGATCTTACTTTCCGCAGTGGTTCGAAAAAGGAGATGCATTCAGACAGGGAAACGGGGCCGTTTAGGGCTTTATAGGTCAAAGCCAGCACTTTGATTTGTGCCCAGTAGCAAACAGGAAGCCAGTGGAGCTGACGTAACATGGGAGGGGTATGCTCCCTGTATGTCGCCCCAGTTATTAACCTGGCTGCCTCTTGTTGGACTATTTGAAGCTTCCAGACAATCTTCAGAAGCAACCCCACATAGAGCGCATTGCAGTAGTCTATCCTGGATGTAATGAGAGCGTGGACCACCGTGGTCTAGTCTGACTTCCCAAGGTACGGGTGCAGCTGGCACACAAGTTTTAATTGTGCAAAAGCCCCCCTGGCCACCGCTGCAGCCTGAGGATCCATGCTCTGTGATGAGTCCAAAAGGACTCCATGAATACTTAAGTCTTATTATATACAATGGAGTAATAATGGCATGGTATGTCTTATATAAAATGACAAAAAACAAAGTTTGCTATTTGGATACTTGGAGGGGGGCGCGCGATGTATTTTAAATGTGTGGGTGGTTGAATCTGTGGGTACCAACTGTGAATAGGGAGGGCTGAATTTATGTTAACAGAGATACGTATGATTGAATAATGAATATATATATATATACCATATATACTCGAGTATAAGCTGACCCGAATATAAGCCGAGGCACCTAATTTTACCACAAAAAACTGGGAAAACATATTGACTCGAGTATAAGCCGAGGGTGGAAATGCAGCCGCTGCAGATAAATTTCAAAATAAAAATAAATACCAATAACATTACATTAATTGAGGCACCAGGAGGTGAAATGTTTTTGAATATTTACATAAAATTGTAATTTGAGATAAGACTGCCCAACTCTGATTAAACCATTATTCTAACCTTCTTCAATGTAAATGAATTTACGTATCCTTCCAACAATAATAGAGAGTAAAATAATGAATGTAATAATAACAATAATAATAACAATAATAATAATTAAAGTAAAATAATGGAAATGCAATAATAATAGTAATAATAGAGCAAAATAATAAATGTAATAATAAATGTAATAACTACTACATTTAGCCCTGCCACGGGTTTTTAATGCGTCATGGTGTTATTGTTAATGTTTACTGCTTTGTTTATGATTTTATTTATTGTCTGTATTGTTGTTGTTGTTGTTGTTGTTGTTGTTTTTACTGATGTGTTTTTGCTCGGCCTCTTGTAAGCCGCACCGAGTCCTTTGGGAGATGGTAATGGGGTATAAATAAAGGTTTATTATTATTATTATTATTATTATTATTATTATAGAGTAAAATAATAAATGCAATAATAATAAAGTATAATAAATGTAATAATAATAATAGGGTAAAATACTGTAAATGTAATAATAATAAAGTAAAATAATACATGAAATAAAAATAATACTAATAACAGAATAAAATAATAAATAACCTTGACTCGAGTATAAGCTGAGGGAAGCTTTTTCAGCCTAAAAAGGGGGCTGAAAAACTAGGCTTATACTCAAGTATATACAGTATATATATACACACACACATGCACACACACACGCAAAGTGTTGGTTTGACATATATCATTCAGGATATAAAACTAACTAATCCAAAGCATCATAAGGTATGATTACTACATATAAAGGCACAATGGGTACTAAATATTGCCAACAGTTTTGTATTATTTGTTCCCATTACACTTCCTAGAAACACCGTTATAAATGTGTGATTGTTTTAAGTAAATTTCCGAATTGCATTAAAGTCTCCAATGGATTATTTTTCTCCCTGCAGTCTATGTCTCTAATTTGTCTTGTGGGCTCCATCACCCGAATGTGAAAAATGTAGTTCTATTTGACAGAGGTCATAAATTATTTATCTTTGAGAAAAAATCATCTGCAAATTATTTCTGTATTTTGTATGATCAAACACAAAGGATCTGATTAAGTTTCAACATTTCACATGCATTGGCATTAGTATTAATAGCATTTTACTCATTTATACCCTGCATGTTTTTGAATATAGGCATTCAGGTAAAGCCTGAAGAGATCAAAAGCATGAAAAACACCATTACATATATATAAATGTATCCATTTAAAACGTCTGGCGAAAGAAAGACCTATGCTTTGTACACGTCTTACTTGTGACATCTTGTATATATACAGGATTGTTGACATGTGAAGGCAATAGTCATTGTTTGGCCCCGCAATCACCGCTGCTGGGAGATTCTCAATGCCACATTTGTAATTGGCAAGGAATTGGTGCCCTCTAGACATCAGTTCCATTGCAGCAATGTAAGTCCAACTTCCACTGAAACCATTGTTATAGATGTGGAAACCCAGGGTGACATTGGGCAAGAGATGATGATTTTCATTGGTCTCCTTGACAGCAAACACAAAGGCCACAATATGCTGATAGAGTTGTGTCATTATCCTGTAAGGAGGAATATTTACAATGTAAACTATCTTCTTCAAATGAGAGCATTTGTTCCTTTTCAACTACATGCCACTTCCAAAGTCTAGTATGGCTTTGGATGCTACTATAAGTACATGAGTATATCTCAAATTCTATTGTTCTATATGTATTTTTTTTACTCCTGATATTTCTGCTGCAGGTTTTGAAAAGGAAATGCATTGTAACATCTGTCAAACCACACCATATGCCACCCCGAGTCCTTTTGGAGACATGGTGGTGAGATACAAATAAATTGTATCCAAGATGAACGGAACCACCTCAACTGGGCTCTACAGGCCAATGGATACTCCACCTCAGACATCAGAAGAGCTGCAAGACCAAGAACAAGCCACGAGTAAAGACGAAGATCCACCCAGAGGAAAAGTGTTCTTGCCATACATCAAGGGAACCACTGACCGCATACGGAAGCTGATGAGGAAACACAACATACAAACCATCTACAGACCCACCAAGAAAATCCAACAAATGCTACGTTCAGCAAAGGACAAGAGGGATCCTCTCACCTCTGCAGGAGTCTACCGTATACCATGCAGCTGTGGACAAGTCTACATAGGGACCACCAAACGCAGCATTGCCCAAACACGAATCAAGGAACATGAAAGGCACTGCAGACTCCTTCAACCAGAGAAATCAGCCATAGCAGAGCACCTGATGAACCAACCTGGACACAGCATATTATTTGAGAACACAGAAATGCTGGACCACTCTCACAACCACCATGTCAGACTACACAGAGAAGCCATTGAAATCCACAAAGCATGTGGACAATTTCAACAGAAAGGAGGAAACCATGAAAATGAACAAAATCTGGCTACCAGTATTAAAAAACTCTAAAATTGCAACAGCACAACAGAGAGGAAACAGGCAGGGACATCTAATTACCTCTCAACAAAAGTTTGCCCCAGGCGCAGTCAGGCCATTGTATGCTAATCAAGGTGTCAGTTGGAACACTCACACCTAGCTCTAACAGAGAAGAGTCCTTTGTCTCACCCTGGTCATTCAGCGCAGCGCAGAGCATTGTGTCCTCCATCTCTGAAGCCAAGAAAGAACAGTGGATCAAGTTGATCACAGAAGTCGACATGGGCAGGAGCAGCCAGAAGGCGTGGAGGCTGCTAAGACGGTTGAGCAACGACCCCTCACAAACTAATACCCATGCCAACATAAAGGCAGATCAGATAGCACACCAACTCTTGAAGAATGGGAAACCCAACTTTGCCACCAAAGTAGGAAAGAAACCAATAGCCAGGCAACCAGAGATTGAGAACAACAACCTTCATGAACCCTTTACATCTACTGAATTGGCTCTCAATAAATGTAAAAATGGCAAAGCAGCTGGCCTGGATGACCTACGGATGGAAAAAAATCAAGAACTTTGGTCCCAAAGCAAGGCGCTGGCTGCTGGAGCTGATGAACAACTGCACTGCATCCTGTCAGACCCCCAAAATCTGGAGGAAAGCAAGAGTCATCGCCATCTTGAAGCCAGGCAAAGACCGTAATGACCCAAAAAGCTACAGACCAATCTCCCTGTTGTGCCACCTCTACAAAGTTCTGGAGAGACTTATTTTGCATAGAATTATGGAAAAAATAGACCCATGTCTGATCCCACAGCAAGCTGGCAAAAGCTGCACATCGCAAGTGTTGAACCTGACTCAGCACATAGAAGATGGTTTTGAAAGGCAGCAGATCACAGGAGCTGTCTTCATAGACCTGTCAGTGGCTTATGATACCTGTGAACCACCGCCTCCTCCTGAGAAAAATGTATAATATCACAAAGGACTACCACCTCACCCGCCTCATAGAAAACCTGCTACAAAACAGGAGCTTTTTTGTTGAGTTCCAGGGCCAGAGAAGCAGATGGCGGAAACAGAAGAATGGCCTGCCTCAGGGGAGCGTGCTTGCTCCATCCATGTTCAACATCTACACAAATGACCAGCCACTGCCAGAAGGGACAGAGAGCTTCATCTATGCTGATGATCGTGCCATCACCGCTCAAGCAGGGAGCTTTGAGATGGTTGAACAGAAGCTCTCCGAAGCTCTAGGTGCTCTTACTGCCTATTACAGGGAAAACCAGCAGATCCCTAACCCATCTAAAACACAGACATGTGCCTTTCATCTCAAGAACAGACAAGCATCCCGAGCTCTGAGGATCACATGGGAAGGAATCCCACTGGAGCATTGCAGCGCACCCAAATACCTGGGAGTCACTCTGGACCGTGCTCTGACCTACAAGAAGCACTGCCTGAACATCAAGCAAAAAGTGGGTGCTAGAAACAATATCATACGAAAGCTGACTGGCACAACCTGGGGATCACAACCAGATACAGTGAAGACATCTGCACTTGCGCTGTGCTACTCTGCTGCTGAGTATGCATGCCCAGTGTGGAACACATCTCACCACGCTAAAACAGTGGATGTGGCTCTTAATGAGACATGCCGCATTATCACGGGGTGTCTGCGCCCTACACCACTGGAGAAATTACACTGCTAGCCGGTATTGCACCACCTGACATCCGCCGGGAAGTAGCAGCCAATAGTGAAAGGACCAAGGCAGTGACATCTCCAGCCATCCCTTGTTTGGTCATCAGCACGTCAACACCTTAAATCTAGAAATAGTTTTCTAAGATCTACAGAGACACTCGCTGGAACACCTCAGCAAGCGAGAGTCCAAAAGTGGCAGGCTCAAACCCAGAACCTCAACCAATGGCTCATACCAAATGAGAGACTCCCCCCTGGGCACACAGAGGACTGGGCGACCTGGAAGGCGCTGAACAGACTGCGCTCTGGCACCACGAGATGCAGAGCCAACCTTAAGAAATGGGGCCACAAAGTGGAATCCACGACATGCGAGTGTGGAGAAGAGCAAACCACTGACCACCTGCTGCAATGCAACCTGAGCCCTGCCACATGCACAATGGAGGACCTTCTTGCAGCAACACCAGAAGCACTCCAAGTGGCCAGCTACTGGTCAAAGGACATTTAATCAACTACCAAACTCACAAATTTTGTAACTTGCTTGTTTTCTTTGTTTCTGTTAGAAATGTAATATAATTTCACTGGTTGTTCTGACACGACAAATAAAAACCCTGGTCACCCACAGATCTATAAACCCTTTTGCCTAGCTCCAACAGGCCTCACTACCTCTGAGGATGCTTGCCAAAGTGCAGGCGAAACGTCAGGAGAGAATGCCCTTAGACCATGGCCATACAGCCCGAAAAAACCTACAACAACCCTACAAATAAATTATTACTATTATTATTATTATTATTATTATTATTATTATTATTATTATTACCTGTCCGAATGTATCTCCTGTTATGACATGATTGGTGGGGAAGAGGGACAGGGCCTTCTCAGCAGTGGCCCCCTGCCTGTGTAATTCCCTCCCCAGGGACATCAGATTGGCCACTTCCCTCCTGTCCTTTAGAAGGAAACTCAAGAGTTGGTTGTGAGACCAAGAGTTTGATCACTGAATAGCAGCAAGTGAGAATAAGACATAAACAATTTGAAGTGACAATGAACTGACCCAGACTTTGGTTTTAACTGGTGTGTTTTTAATGTTGTTTTACTGAATTTATTGAAAGTTTTTATGATTATGTTGGCACCGAATGGCACTTGCTGTGAGGCAGTCCAGAGTTCCCCCTCGGGGGTGAAAAGGGCAGGGTACAAGTGTATGAAATAAATAAATGAATAAATAATAATAATAATAATAATAATAATAATAATAATAATAATACCTAATCTGTTAAAAATTCCTCCAGATGAAGAATCTTTTTCACAATATTATGCATGTCTAAGAAAATATCATTAAGCTGTGTGCTTAAATTCTCCCATCTCATGGCAAATAGCAAAAGTAAGAGAAACCCAGAGCAAAGTGTTATATGTTCTTTTTGCATGAATAAAGGAGTAAATAATATGTACAGTGCAAAACAATAATGAATACACAAAACCTAGTTATTCGAAATAGAAATCCTTAAGGAGATATTTTAATATATGCTTTTAAAGCACAGAATATTAGAGTATTAATAATAGGAATGTGAAAAATTAGGCTTGGATGTATTGTACTTTGTGGCTCCATACTGGCATGAGCTATACAATTTTGAAAGCCCCACCATAAAGCCAGCATAGCCAGAAGCAAAAAGGAGTCTGAGCCCTCCTTGCTTACAAGTATAATAAAGAGGAGAAAATTACCAAGACATCAGAATTTGTTAGTCACTGAAATCAGTGGCTTGAGTCTAAATTATTGTAAAATTATAAACTACTTTACTCTGGATTCATTTACATTTAATAAGATCATATATTAGCAGGCTAATTGAAAATTGCATCCAGTATAAATGCATGATATAATGACATACCAAGGACATACTCACAGAGGATCCACAGAAGGTTCCTTAGTTGGATTTATTATAAATGGCATTGTGTTGTGCTGTAAGTACAGCTGAGACATGATTCCACCAATGATGACTTCTCCAGGAAGAAAATACTGATGTTGTGTAAGGATAGGCTCTCGGACGGAACATAGAGCACTGCGGTTCTGTCCTACCACTTGGGACATTAACATTAACAGCAATACCACAAATACACTAATCTTCCAAGACAATATGAAATGTATGTAACCTGTCTCTTTCCACAATGGCATTCTAGGACTTCTGTTTAGGAAAACCTGGTTTGCCTGGTTACGTCCTCTGCAGATTCAAAGCCAGAATGGTGAGGTGTCAAGAAGCAGTAGCTGGACCAAGAGCACTCTGTGTGTATCTATAGCCCATTTCCAGAGAGGA